TGGCTTGTACGCGACCGAATAGTCGTGTTTTACGAAGCATCGAGCCATTCGCTGTGACAAGTGGGGCGACTCAACTCCACATAGACGATAATCGGAATTTAACCTAAGAGGTTAACAAAAACCTTCACCAGGGCATATTTCATTGCCAAAGCTCCTTGTCGTATACGGAGTAGTTTTTTTCTACTGAAATGATCTGTCGTTATTGAAACGACACGAAGCAGTTGTGTCCTTCTAAGTTTTTTTGCAAAAATGCACAACCGATTGCAAGCTCAAAAGCGTCACATAGCACGCTACACGGCTTCGTTGCATCTGGTAAAGCAAATAGTGGTGCGATCATCAGTCTATTCTTGATCTGAATGAATGCTTCTTTACAAACAGATGGCCACTCTTACAGCTACTTCAGCAAGTTTGATAGTGGGCGCGCCAATTGTGCGTACTTTCGCGAGAAGCAATGCGGGTAATCGGACAGATTAATCTATTTCCTTAACTTATTTTAATTTTATGGTGTTGGCCACTCCACAATTGCTTTGACCTGCTCAGAGTCTGCGCGAACACCGTGTTCACCAACACAATAAACGAGGACCGGTAGTTCGTTAGCATCCAAAGTACACTTTGCAAGATTTGATTGCAATGAATGCTCACGCAAACATTTAGCACTGCACGGAGGTGCTCTAAGTGCATTTCTTTGGCAGATCTATCATCTTCGTCCTTCAAGTGAATGAAAGTATCATCAAAGTATGTTTGTGCGAAGCGTCGAAGTGGTCGGAACAAATGAGTGACAAATCAGTTTAATATTGCTGAGGCATTGGATAGTCCCTGTTACATCACAAGTCACTCACATAACATCCGAACGGTGTACTGACAGCCGACATCCATCTCCCTCATCGAGATTTGGTGATAACCATCGAGCAATGCAGTACACTAGACGGTGTACAGTCGGACATACGGTGGATGATTACTTCCTTACTCGGAATTTAGTGTGTGCGTAAATCGTCTGCGCATTCAACTTGGTATAGGCGAGAACGATACGCCATTTACTTTTGATTTACGCACACAAAACGTCGGTGCGCTGTGGGGAGACTTGCTTTTCCTAACCAGCAGCTTGATTTTCAGCAGAAAGCTCGTTTTTGTACTCACTTTATTCACGCGATAGCGGCCACTGTCGAAGCACTGCAGGCTTTGAGCCAGATTCAAGATCAATTTGGTGTTGAACTTCGCGTTCGGGTGGAAGACCAGAGAGCAGATTCACACTGAGGACGTCATCTTTGTAATTCATAACAATTATATAACAACGATCAGTTAGATCCTTCGAAACAGCAGATCATTTCATAATTCCACACACTGTCAAAATTCTTCGAGACCATAACTATTAATGAGCGTAATTTCGCTGGATCAGCCTTCAACTGTAGCATCAGGACCTCTACAATACCATCACTTTTCGAGGTCGTATAAAATGTCATTGTAAGTGACAGGCTCAAACTGCACCGACTCTTCTATCGTCGGTAACGGTGCCAAAAGAACATAAGTTTTGACAGCATCACATCCTGTCGTTGCATCCCTATACGTGGACGAGAATATTTGCATGCTACGATTCTATCATGAGGTATAGTATGTTGAACTTAGTCACCCGTGAATTTGATCGCATTCAAAGCGTGAATATCAGTACCGCAATAAACAAATTACGCTGGTTCCTATATACGTGGATGCTCAATTACACAACGGGTGGGGATATCAAACGTGGGATCAGTCGTATCCACTGACCCACAATCCGGTTCAACCACTATATTTGTGAATATTGGTATATCCAGCTGCAGTCAACTCCTTTGATTTTCCATTACACATGTCTAGGACATTCTTCTGTCTTAAGGGAGGGGGCAAAAACTCCCTCGTGAATTCCTTCCGTCGGGCAAATCGCCATGTTTACCAACAATACTTCGTTTTCAAGTGACCAGTTCCGGGCACCTCTTGAACTATCGATACAGTTTCGGAGTGGCCACGGGTGGCCACTTCATACCACTCCGTATCTTGCCTAACCTGGAAAATATCAATTGCATGACATATACCAATGAAGTGGATAATTTTCAGCAGCATATGACTACCAAGCGCTTGATTACCACTTCTGTGAATAATTATTGTGGGTTCATTACTTCCAACAGTTTCACTACGCCAGGAGAGCTACTCCTTATCGATTTCGATCGCAAATCGATCCATGGCTCATGTTCTACAAGTCACGGTATGTCTAAGATCAGGTCGCACCGTTGTTCATCTCGAGGACTGTGAATACTTCTTTCGAGTTGAAGTCTTTCAATTTCGGTTGAAAACCAACCATAATTCTCTTTGCGGTGACCACCGCACCATTAGCCGACTTCAATCAGATAAAACCATTACTTTTTTCTTGTGCATCCGAAAGCACTCAATTATTTTCACCAACACTTTCCTTTTGAACGTTATTACGCGATGGACCGGATTGTATCAAGACTCTGAGTGGGCGACCGTAACCCTTTACACTCGCTGTGATCACGAGGAGACCACTTCGAATCGTGTCCTTAGCGAAGGACAACGATCTTTTGTGAGAACTCACATGAGTGGCTCTACCGCCATACCCACAAGCGCTTGAAAATGCTTCAGTAGACCGCCCTGCATCTACTAGGTATCGGCGACTCCCGGACGCCTCGTGGTATTGGTCCCGCGTGGCTCGGGTCATTACGACGAAAAATATATTGGGAGGTTCATCTCCCACGTGGGAATGTGACCGAATTGCTGACATCCTCAATAGCGAACTTGCTGTCTACGGACAGTCATCGCGCTAAAACCATTGTCAACGGATTTCCGGTAGCAGCAGTCACTGCTTCCATCGGGTTGACGACTGACCACATGCCTGACGCTTACAGTAATGCAATCATAATTGCAATTTCAGAGTCGTCGGGCTCTGGCGGAAGACTTCAACCTTAGTAGGACCCGAGGTGAGCCCCCCACAAATACGGTGACCATTACTGCCACTGGCAGTGGTTCAATCGCGATGTTGACACGAAGCTCGCGGAGCTTCTGTGCGCAGTCGTACAATATTTCGTTGTCTTGACGGCATGACAGAATCTTCGACTGTTATCGAAACGCCACATTCAGATGAAGGAACAACGAATTCATGGCTTATCCAGTCCTTGCTATGCGTCAAAAATGCCAAGGCGATTGACTTCTCGCGTCACCGCCAATCCTTCGCACGGCCATCCAAATGCGACATAGCAAAAGCCACTAGACTGCAAACATCACGAGTTAAGCCACCGCAACAGCGATTTTCCATTTCTCTATACCTGAACGCAAGATTTTATTCTCATTCCCGTTAAAACTTTTCACCTTGCTTTTCGGGGGACGTTCCGGGTGTACCGACATTGTTACTACTACTTGTAGAGGATGTGATTGAACTGGCGTCGGTATGTTCTGCAATGGAAATCTCAGTAGTTCTTGCTCATACGCAGCAAAATTTGCTACGCATCTAGTTATTGTCACTTAATTTAAATACATCGTTTCAGGAATCGCGTGATCTCCGATTAAAGCTCGCACCTTCAACATACTCTTCCGTTGGGAGTGTGTTAAAGGCGATTAATCCTCCCTGTTGTTCCTAGGACGACCATTGCCGCTAACGTTCACATAATTCATCAATATATCTATCGAAGTAAGCACTAATAGAGGTACCTAGTGAAACAGAAGTTGGCTGTCCGTGTACACGCACTTTATTGAGGAGGGCTTAGGTTAACTGATACGCCTCACCGCGTTTTGTTCGCTTCCAGCGGGTTGTTGACTTACGTAAAGAAGAGAAAAGGTGCAGTGATATTGATTACCATAGTTAATGCGTTTTTAACTTCTCTAACCTGATAATTGCCTCCATTTGTGGCACAGAAAAATTTGAAGGAGGTCTACAACTATACAGGGTGTACTGATAGTGTAAGACACAAAGAGAGTGGCTCATACAGCATGTGTAATGGAACTTGGCCCGGTTCGACTGCTACCAAGTTTGTTGGTAATGCTTTGACATGCAGTTTTCGTATATGTGAGAACAGCATGCAATACAAATAGGAGCATTGCGCACGTGAATGCCGATCGCGGGCCACGCGCGAGTTGCGAATAAAGCTTGAAGTTACCGTTTGTAAGCTTGTGAAAAAGCATTGGTGTAGTCAGAATCACAAGCCCGATTTTTATATTTTAAAAAGTTGAATAAAAAATACAGACGGCACTTACACCCAGAAGGAAGATGACACCATATTCCTAAGTGCATGATTATTCATCATTGATCATCGACACGAAGTTGGATATTGTACTGCTTCATGTGTGTATTTTTTAGAGCTGGACGTCTGACGCATGCCAGATTAAGCAAATCAGCACTTCTCTTTCAATTATTCCTCCAGTTCCGACGACGACCATCTAATTACCGCTTACTGTCTCTAATTAATTTTCCTTTGTCTTGCTTGAGCTAGCAGCCTTCGTGATCCCAAGCAGTGGCGCCACAGCGACGACCACAGACAACAATTACACGAGGCCGCTGTGGACGAGTAACCTTGAGACAGCTGCTATGGCAAGTACGCAGCAAATATTGCAAAGCTCCAACAATAGTGAGCGGCTTGTCGGGATGAACGACACAGTGATTGTGGGTGATCCTGGGGAAAACAAAGAAGCCGGCTACTCAAGTAGAATGTAAAGAAACTATAAAGCTTATCAAGAAGGGGTGAAAATATAGGAAGCATCCTTTTTGAAATGGAGCAATGATTATCAATTAATTATTTCAGATCTCAGAATGATGGCGTAAGGCACAGGTCACACAAAGAATTGATGTTTAGTACCGGTTATTGTTTCTTTATTTGACGTTGTTCGTCTGACAACAGCAATCACGGTTAAGCACTATATATAATGACGTATGGAGAAGTTGTGAACGGCAGTAAGTAAGATCGGGAAAAATATCACTTTGTGGCAAACTTTAGACATGTACCCTTATATAGATCAAGAATGGTTTCTGGAATGCAGTATTTGGGATAATGGCAATCCTTGCAAAGCAAGACTAGTTGCACAAGCACTAGTAGCACACCAACGCAGATCTTCACAAAGCTAGATATAAAAGCAGATACAGTCAAAGTTTCTGCAATCCGAATAGTTGTTGAACAATCAAAAGCGTACGCGAAAGCAATCTGGGATTACATAGTACGATCTGATATTCAAATGAAATTATTAAAAAAAGGACGCCAAAATAGTAACATAAGCAGAATAAGAGTGATGGATCAAGTGAAGAGCAGACCTAAGTCGGGTATACTTGTCATAAATTCAGATTTCTTAAGAAAAAATCGTTAGCGATATTCAGCTCAGCTACGTGGCGGTCAAATTTCAGCATAGCACATCCGAATACAACAACCGAATACAGCAAAAAGAGAGCGAAAAGTGGAGATTGGTCCAAAATTAAAATGAAGATCGACGAAGGTCGTTATGACTTGTATACAGGGAGAAAGCATTATCTGGCTCAGACAAAAGAGCTTCGACCAGTTCACTTACGATCATAGCTTTGTATTCTGTTTTAGGCTTTCGGAAAAAAGGATCTCTCTATACAAATTATTTTGACTTTTTGACCATCCGCAAGATCTTTTATCTGCTGATTTTTATTCTTTCGTGAGCGACAATTATTTTCGTCCTTAACTTCATCGTCAATTGTCTATCCTTGGGCCTGGGTAGCCTCATATTATGTCGGAGCTGTGTCGTCGTTGTTCGTTGTCGTCAATATACCAGATCCATTTGGGATCGGAAGGGCGATAAAAGGCGCAAGTCATGGCCAGATTCTCGACGAGTATGAAAGCACGATGTTAAATTAGAAGGTTGGATAAATATATATTTTTTGGTCATGCTTGACTCAAATATCCAGTTTCGAGATGATGCAGTATAGATCAAGTCCTACACAAAGCGATCATGGAAATAAAATGTAAATATATCGGATTTAAACCATGACGATCACACAGAGCTGCAATTTCAAGCTAGATTTGACTTTGATTGCCGCATTAGCCAACAGCAATATATTCAACTTTTTAATGGATCTGATTCTCAATACCTGTCACCGTAAGACCGGAAACCATAGACGGTGACTTACAGAGAATGTACAAAACTCCCTTTGCTTGCTCGACCAAGACGCTAGTAGCAATACACTAAATTTGGAAACATTTGTAGTCACACCTACGCCTACGCGAGCAGAGATGCTGACTAAAAATTGTAATTCTAAAGAATCAAATGTTGTTGTCTATGGGAGCTATTATTGTCGCAGTATGATTTGTTCTGAAGACGAAAAGCCTCATTGGGTCTTAAGCTTGAAAAATTTGTTTGACTTCGTCGCCGGTCGGGAAAATTATTCGCGTGGAATTATTCAACAAGTATATGTGTGATCAAATTGAACGCGTTGAGCGTGCGCTTATAAAGGTACAGGCGGAACATAATTCTTTAGAGCTCATTGTCATCGCTATGAAGAAAAGAGGTGAGATTCTTCCCCGTTCATTCGGTCCGTGAGTCGGAGCTTGCTTTTGTAATAGCACTGATCATAATCGATCGACTCTTGTTGCTTTTGCGCTTTGCAACACAGGTGATCTGGCAAAAAAATGAACTTACACTTTTGAAACTCTGACGTGTGGGTGGTCTATTTCTAGCCAAAGCTACGTGAAAGGCGTGTGACGTCTTCCAATAGTAAAAAAATAAGTTCTATCAGCGTCTACACTTCTTATCTTGCACGTAAGGAAGGCGTATAATCTTCACAAGGGGAGCGTATCCGATAAGAAGACACTCTGAATTGGTTAAGGAGACGATGTTGGCGAGCGGCCTAAAATAGGCCAGGATCGTAATCGAATACTATGAGTGCAGGTCGAGGAAATAGAGGTAGCGATACAGAAATCATAAAAGTCTTAATGCATTTCGCTGAGTCGAGGGACCTGTCACTGTCAGACGAAAAAAACTCGGTGACAGCTTTGCTGATGTTTAATAAGAGGGCAACGGAGACTGACGAGACTGACAATCTCAGTGAGACTAGCAAATTGTACCTGTTTAAGCGTCGTACGGACCTGGCTGTAAAGTTTGAGCAATTCGCCATTTCGGAGTCGTCCTTGGTCCTACAATTTGACAAGCATGACTCTAACTAGATGTGTCGTGGCTTGATAAGCACGAATCTTGATGATTATTATGCGAAATTTAACATCCAGCCGCTTCACATATTCGAATTAGTTTTAAAGAGTCATGTTCTCACCACTTTACGACTTCCGAGCACCCAAATGGATCGTCAGAAGCTGAAAACTTTATAAATGAAATTATTGTGAACGAGGTAGACCCCAGGGTGGCTGTTAAAGATCAACCCCTCGAGCACGATAAAATTTCACTCTTGAAAAGAACCTAACAGTATTGCTGGTCACGCATCTCACAGTCTGGTCACGGAGACCATAACTGCAACGGACGGCATATACCCTCCATTGTTTTGACATGCCCCATAAGAATCTACGGATGGTTGTAAAGGGAGATGCAGGAGCTGTGTCATAGTCGGCTCAGATCATCATCAAGCATGGATACACTGTATGAACGCCCTGTAGGAGTGCTTAAATCACAGTATAGTATCACTTTTTGATTTTTTTGCGCTTTGAATCTACATATTTTGGTATTTTATGCGAATTCGTACCATACTTTTTTACAAACCATATCATCGTACCATATTTTATATTTTTGAGCATGGTAGTACCACATTTTGGTCTGCGTAAGCAATATCAAACCATACTTTCTTACAAATCACAGTACAGTATCACTTTTGATTATTTCGCTTTTTTTAGTTATATGTTTTGATATTTTATGCTGTAACGGGGTTACCCGAACTCTGATAACAGGAGTGTGTATCACACGAGATGTGCATGGTGTGAACACACCCAAACAAGAATACGGTACGGGGCTAGATTGTCAGTAGTTATGCATGGATTTAGATTTTACTATATATATTTAGTATCTCTACACTTTTAAATCAGAATGAGTAAATAAAAATTAGTTTTGAATTTGAACCAAAGAGTCAATTATCCTTGGAGAAGCAATAATTATTCTTGGAGTAAGCGGATTGCGATCCGCTAACTCATAATTGGTCCTTGTAAAGAACGAAAGGTCGGTGACCTCATTGTACGCCTCCTCAAGCGCTAAGCTACGGCAGGCCCGCTGCACTTGGTAGCACTTGTAGTCAATCTACACCTGATTCGTTTCGACTGATCCTCTGTGAGGATGGAGGAATTTTTCTTCTTGCACCAGGGCATGCAGGACGGGCTTAACAAGCTGACGTCCTTGCTTGGCCTTGAAGGCATGCAACACCTTGTAGCGCAATGTCCCAGGGCAATCAGTGCGCGACTAGAAGCATTTTCAAGCTACGAACACGCACTGCTAGAGCACCTACAGCATATGATGTCTGCATCATTTGCGTCTATGACGCCACCGTCGATGACGGATGTTTTTCCCCGCCCTTAGCCGCTCATGGTGAGCGTTAAGGTCTTTGAGGGGGAGGATGGGGAGAATCTCCTGCTCTGTGTGATAGGTCG